GGATATATCACACACACCGGAGAAAGATTTGTAACAAAAGGTGTCCTATTAAGGTATTAAGTAAGACATCATTTGTATAAAGTAGGAGAGTAGGCAAAATGAGGGGACAGTACCAGAGGTCAGGATGCTGGAGTGTGGGAAAAGGCACAAAGGGGGTGCTCGGTCTCAGACTTTGATTTGGATGAGGGTTCATAGCTATAGTTGACTGATCCAGCTCACTTCCAAGATTTAAGCACTTTATTGAATGCATAAATGGATGTCTTGAAAAGAATTTAAATCACATTTATATGCATATATCTTTTATCTTACTACAAAAGGATCTAGAAAAAAATGTCAAGCAAGCTATTAGCAGTGGCCGTACCTACACCGTGGTGGACAGAATCCACATGTTTTTCTTATCGATATTTTGAATGCTTCTGCAACTTTTGTAGTGAGAAATTTTTGAATGAAAGCTGCTTTATTTTTGACATATTAAAACGGAGTCAGTTCCAAAACGTCTTCAAAATGAGAAAGAAAGTCATTCCCCTTTGCCAGGCTAGAGCTGTATCACCTATGGCTTCTCTCTTGGCTTCTCCATCAGGTTAGTTTAAATGAAAACCATAGATTCTGCTTGGAGTATTCTGAGTTTTCCTACCAGGTTGCACTGATCCTCAAATCTCTTCCATTCCTCTTGGAAATCTTGGTGACTCAAACACTGCCTTTTATGATGGCAGAGGTATTTCCCACACAACCTTCTCAAGAGCTATACCCTTTGCTCCCTGCTACAAACAGATTTCATCACCTGAAAGTGAAGGGTAGAGCTGACTTGAGGCCTTCTCTTTCAGGATGACATCATCACGGTGATCAGCCGAGTGGATGAGAACTGGGCGGAAGGGAAGCTGGGAGATAAAGTGGGCATCTTCCCCATCTTGTTCGTGGAGGTATGTGAGTCTCCCATCTACAGCTGACTCAAGCATGCTCAAAAGCGTCTGTGTGCCTGCCCCAGTGACGCCTGAGGGAAATTCCTATTTAACCTGAGGCTTAGAACTCACTGGAACCTCTAAAGAAAAATTCTACACAATGACACTCAGTTCTGGTGAATATGGAGAAATGGGTATTTTCTACTGTTTCTTGGAGTTTAAAGTAGTCAAATTTCTCACGTTGAAATGCAAGTTCACCCATATTTAAAAAAAAAATTAAAGTGTACACTGCTTTAACAATGAACAATTCCACATCTGAGAACTGGCTATAAGGAAATATTTAAATAAACAGGTAGAGTTGTTGATACAAACACACAAAATGTTTACCATAGCATTGTACATAATAGTGAAATGCAGAAATAATCTAAATAATCAACAGTGAAGACTCACTTTGTCGGGGAGGGACAGAGTCTCACTGTGTAGACCAGGCTGGACTCAAACTCACAGAGATTCACCTGCCTCTGTCTCCTGAGTGCTAGGATTAAAGTGTGTACCACCACTACACCGGGGCTACTCTATTATGGGCCAGAAAATTTTTATATATACCATTTAAATGTTAATAATATTGTGAAATACTAGATATTATTGGAAAATATATGATTTATTGTAGAGTTGACAACAAATTGAATAAGTATAGATTTTTCAAATCCTCAAGATGAGAAAGTTCTGGAGATCTGTCCAAAACAATGTGAATGCACTTAACCCTGCTGAACTAGACACTTAAAATGAATGAAATATTAGAAAACACATAAAACAATGAAACAAAGTTGAACTAAGTTGAAAGCAGCTCTAAAAATGTGTGCTTGTGTGGAAAAGCGGGGAAGAGATTGCAATGACGTGCACCAACATATACCAACATACTGGGACTGGTGACCACTAGAAGTAAAATTCCAGATGGAAGCCAGAGGTTGACATCAGATTTCTTCCTCTTCAGCTCCCCACCTTACTCTGTGAGAGTCTTGCAGTGAACCTGTTTTGACAACACTGGCTGGCCAACAAGCACCCAGGATCTGCCTGTCTCCACACCCCCACCACCAGCACTGGGGTTTCCGGCATGTGCCACCACACCCAGCTTTTATACAGGGTCTAGGGATCCAAACACAAGTCATCACTTTTGCCCAACAAGCCCTTTACCTACAGAGCTAATTCCCCAGCCTTATTTCTGTGGATTTTTTTTTAAATGACTTTAAAAACAAGCTAGGCTATCTGTTTCTCCAGTATAATTACCTAACCTCTGGTCTCGAACCTCACTAGCCACGAGCCTCACCCTAGCTTGAAGCAAATCATTGCAAATTCAAAAGAGATCTTTCATTGTTTAACTGTCTTCACTGAGTGCTTACCATGCATAAATGTATTAAAAGTGAGTATCGGAGAGCTATAAAAAGAAGTGCCAGGCAGCGTCCCCACCCTCCAGCAGGGTGGGGGAAATGGGACTGCGGCATAATTGGGGAGAAGAAGCCAATTCTTCCGTGCATGGAAGCCAAAGCAGGTTCTACAGCAAAGGGTGTATCCTAAGCCTTGTCCAGCTTTCAAGGTGTTGGGTACTTCCTTCACTCAGCCAGTCAACGTATCCAAAGGGTGGAGGGGGAGTGCAGAATGGCCGTGCTCTCGTGTGTGCACTGACAGGTATCCTCATGCCTCATGCTTGGTCTCTTCCTGGTTCACCTGCCTTGTGCTTCCCACCTGTTCGAATTTCACTCATTTTATGCGGCTCTGCTAGACAGAAAAAAAAAAAATAAATGTCCAGAACGTGTCAGCAGTCAAGTGAACCTTGACTGGTTTCTGTCTTCTCTAAACATGTGGCAGGTGTGTTGGTTACATTTTATAGGCCAGCTAACACAGAACAGACTCTTCATTTAAAAAAAAAAAATAGCTTGCCCAGCTTATGTAAGGCCTTGGGATCCAGTAACAATACAATAATTTTTAGGGCATTAAATTGAATAAGTGAAAACCTATTTGAAGGTGGTTAGAAAAAAAATAAACCTGACCCTGCTGTCCTGTGCACTCATTTATTTAATGCTTCGTTGGCACCTGCTCCATCAGGTTCCACACAAAGTTCCAAAGATCCAGGGTAGATACGGGTCCCTCATCCCAGAGAGCACACCATCAGGCACTCGGGTAATTGATTACAAGGATGATGGATGATGCAAGGAGTGAAGTGGAGGGAACTGTTAAGGGATTGTGATGTGCGACTTCATCTGGGAGGTCAGTGAATGCCAGCTGAGCCAACTGAGAAGCAGTTCAGGCTCAGTACGTAAATATGGAGGAGGGAGCAGAGGCTGGGGGCGTAGACGGAGCAAGAGGACCCAGAGACTACCAGATCCAGAGCTAAGTCACAAAAGCCAAAGAAGCAAACTGTAGTAATTACAAACCATTCTGTAAACAGGAAAGACTGGGTGATGCTGGCATACTAAACAGCCCCAAAGTCTCAGTGGCTCCACAAAGAAAAATGCTATTTCCTACCTACATTGTATTTTTCAGCACAGGATGCTGAGTGGTTCTACTCACAGCCACCAGGGAACCCACACTAACAGGGCTGGGCCGTCTTTTAACTGTGACATCTGGAGCATGTGTCCTTCCTAGTTGCCACAGGAGGGGAGAATGGATTGTGTATTCACAGCTGAGAGCCTCTGAAGGAACACCACTCACATTCACTCACTGCCCATTGGCTGGACCAGTCACAATGCTCCAGGTCGGCAGAAGAAAGGGGACCACATGGGATATATGGTGAAGATCCTGTATATCTTACTATTATAAATTTGGATTTGACTCAGAGATCACTGATTTGATCAGACTTGGTTGGTTTTGTCTAATTGTTGTTTTTTGGTTGGTTGGTTGGTTGGTAGTTAGTTGGTTGATTGGTTGGTAGCTGGTTGGTTGGTTAGTTGGCTTGTTGGAGTTGACTTATTTTGATATTAGACAAGGTCTTGTTGTATATCCCATGCTAGACTGAAACTGAATGGACAGCACAGGCTAGCCTCGACCTTTCTCAGCCTCCCAAGAGCTCTGATTGCAGATGTGAGCCATCGGGCCCAGACTCTGGTTTCTGGGATACAATGGAAATAACAAATTTTAAAAAAAGAGATGAGAGAGAGAGAGAGAGAAAAACACAGAAAGATGAGCAGGCTGCTGCATGGTTCCATTTGGAAATGATGTGACTCTGACTGCTAGACTGGAAACAAATTGGCAAATTCAAATTCTACCTCTTATGAGGATTTGGGAATTGCAGAGGTGGAGGACATGGGAAAGAGGGAATGGCCTAGGGTGTCTCCACCTTCTGACTTGTGTGCCTAGGTCAGTGGTGGGGCCATTTGCTAGGTAGAAACAATAAGGGTGATTAGGGAAATGTTCTCTCTCCCTGGACCTGCACTAGGTACCCAACTGAACACATTGGAGGTGGGAGACTTTGGTCTGATCTCCTGCATTATTTTGAGATGCTTCCTTGTAGCTCTGGGGTGAAGGGCTAAGCATTAATTTCATCACCTGTTTCTGAATACTGCTGTTTTCAAAACTTCTGTATTTAATGATTATTCATTTGGATACTCTCACTACCCATTTACCTCTAAAATTAGTAATTACAAGAAGCTTCAAAATTATCATTAAACTAGCCATGGCTTCATTTGTTCTCCTAATTGCTAGGAGGGAGGAAGAAGATAATCAAGTGGTTTGTCTAATTGGGAACCTACTTTTCAAACATTACTTCAAATCTAAATTGAGCTTTTTAAAGCAGTACTTAAAGTTTTGACTCCAGTAATTTCATTAAGAGCAGCACATGCTAAGAACTCTTTAAATAAAGTTTGTGTTGCCAGTGCTGTGCAGAGCGATTGAAAGGAAGGTTTTCTCATAAGGATAACATGGACTTTTTGGGGTACATAAATAAAACTGTTCCTGTTAATGCATCATTTAATTTATTGAACAGCACCCGCACAAAGGATGGTCAAACAAAAGCTGAGTTTCTCCCCATTCTTGTCGGGACTTCTCCACAGGGCAGTCTCAATTGTGTGAACCTCGTCCAGCCCAGTGAACTTCAAGGATATTGTTTCAAATGGGTGCAAACCTAAGAGCCGCACAGTCCCTCCCCAGCTGAGCTGTCAATCATGCCGGTGGAGGACAGGGCAAAAGCAGATTCTCACAGGGCCCTTTGTTGGTGTTACTGATAAAATAATAATAATAATAATAATAATAATAATAATAATAATAATAATAAAAAGGTGATGGTGCTGCCCACCTGGAGGCAGAAAGGCAGGGCACATAAGAAAGAATTAACTTGTGATATCACAGCTGCAGATGGCTGTAAGGAAAGTCACTCATTCAATTTGAAGGGTATCCGTTGTCCTCCTTCTTGTGCAAACTGTGGAGGAACAGGTGCTGTGGGGCCTTGCCAGGCCTTGTCCTTAGTCCAGGATACCATTAGAGCTCACCAGAACAAAATAGATATCTTGCTAATCAGTATCCCTACTTCTCAGCATTACTTCTGAAGAATGACATTTTCATTATTTATATGGAGTAAAACCTGCTTTTTGCTTTTTTTTTAAATGTATCTGGATCTCTGGTTTTGGTAACTACATATAATTGTATAAACACGTTATAGTCAATATGTAGAAAAGTTCCAACATGCCCCCCAAATTCCTCATGCTGAGCCATCTCCTCTGTTCCTCTACCTAGCAACCAGTGATCTATTTTCTGCCCCTATGGCTTTCTTTATCTAGAATGTTCTATAAATGGAACCCCATAAAACATAGCCCTGTGAGCTTGGCTTCTTTCCTTTTGCTTAACACAGTTGACATTCATCTGTATTGTGCCAAGTGTCCATAGCTCATCTTTTTATTAGTGAACAGTGTCTCAAAGCACAGATGTTCCAGAGTTAGCATCTGGGGAGACAGTTCTGTCTGTTAAGTCTTACCATGCAATCATAAGGACCCGAGTTCAATCCCAGAACCCAAGTTTTAAGAAAAAAAAAATGGTTATGATGGTACACACTTGTCATCCCAGCACTGGAGAGGGGGAGACAGGTGGATCCCTGGAGCTCAATGGCCAGCCAGCCAGCCTCATTGGCAAACTCCAGGCCATTGAGAAACCCTTCCTAAAATCCAAGATGGGCAGCTCCTGAGGAACAACGGCTGAGGGCGGCCTCTGACCGCCACATGCATTCACACACACACACATATATAAATCACTACTCAGTCAACTGGTAATAAATGGCGTCGAGGTTGCTTCCCCGTCATTGGCAACTCTGAATGAAACTGTGGTTTGAGCATACATTTTTCTTTCTTCGAGTAATTACCCAGAAGTGGGATTGCTGGATCAGATGCTAAGTATGTGTTTGTGAGAAACTGCCAAACCGTAACAGGAGCTTTAAAAAGCATAAATCAGATCATGTCACTCCTCGACCCAGACCTGCCAGGAGCTTCCTGTTACACTGAAAATAAGTCAAAGCCTCCTGAGTCCTTGTGCAATCCGGTGCCTGCCAAGCCTGTGGCCTCCCCTCCCCGGCTCCTCACCTGCTCCCTTTCATCCTTCCTGCTGCTTTCTGCCTGGCCTGTTCACGTCCTCATGTCCACACCACCGGCTTTCTTGCCACTTACCTCAGAGGCTCTTCCTTGATGCTCCCCCCACCCCCCAGTGTGAGTGGCCGTATCCCCCACTCACTCTCCCTTTTACCCTGGAAGACATTGCCATCTGACAGCTTCTCGTTTACTAGTTTACACGTGGGCTCTGTCACTTGTGTCACTCCTTCTGGGCCTCAGCTTTCTTATCTTTGAAATGGACTTTTTTTTTTTTTAAGTGCACTGGGGAGATGACTGGGTAAGCTCACTTGGCGAGCTCCAGGCCAGGGAAAGACCCTGCTTGAAAAAAAACAAGGGGAGTTTCCCCTGAGGAATGACAGCAGAGGTTGACCTCCGCCCTCGGTACACTCACACGTATACACAAATATGAGCACAATAATACTAAGCACCTACTTGGTGAGTTTTTCCACAATGTGGCAGGCTTTTTCAAGACAAGAATCACCTCTTCTTCCAAGTCTTCTCTCTCCGCTATTTTAATCCTCTGCACATTGTCATTTAAAAAGTTCATAAAAGGGAACATTCTTTTTTCCCTCTCTAGTTGAACGTCTAAATTAGAACAAGACATGCCGTCGCTCTGGAGAATGACTGGCGACTATTGTAATAATAGGAATTTAACTCATCGTCCTGAGATGGAAGCGTGGATTCACAGGAACCCTCATTTTTTTTTTCAACAGATTTCATATTTCCAAAGGCTGTAAGCCCCCAGGGCCTTTAGAAGTAATGAGTCGGATGTTAGGGAAGGCTACAGTAACATACACTGGGCTGGCTGGTGCCAGATCTGACACACCATTTGTTACAGTTCCAGAAACTGTGCTAGCCAGCTGTTAAACAGCTGGCTTATCGATAACACTACACACTGGGGCTTTTCCATGCTTTTTGGTGTTTTTTTTTTTTTTTTCTTCCCTGGGTAATTTACCAGAACAACTGATGTTAAAGACAAAGAACAGGAAAGTGAAGATTGGCAATATTTGAAATAGGGAAAAAAAAAAAAAACAGAAGGATGAGTCAAGGTCCTGAATGTGTGTCTACTATGTCTCTTTTTTGTTTGTTTGTTTGTTTGTTTGTTTTTGATTTTTGGTTTTTTGAGACAGGGTTTCTCTGTGTAGTTTTGCGCCTTTCCTGGAACTTGCTTTGTAGACTAGGCTGGCCTCGAACTCACAGAGATCCACCTGCCTCTGCCTCCCGAGCGCTGGGATTAAAGGCGTGGGCCACCACCACCCGGGTTACTATATCTCAAAGCATATCAAATGTATGAGCTTCAAATGGATAGAAGATAGAATGTGTTATTATTTTGACCAAAGGGTGGCCATCTGAGCCAGCCACTAACCAAAGGGTGGCCATCTGACCCAGCAGCTGAGAAGCTAGCTAGCATCAGTTGCCAATGAGTGTGAGACTTAGCTACTATACTGTGTCAGAAAATAACTCTCATCGATCCTCTTACCTTTGCAGCCAAACCTCGCAGCAAGACACCTCTTAGAGAAGAACAAAGGACATCAGTTATCACGCACGAAAAACCTGTCCCTGATGTCCTCTCCATCCAGAGGCAAAGCAACCAACACACTCACCCTCCGAAAGAGCCCTGGGTCCAGGAGGAAGGGGTCTGGGCAGTTCTCCATCACAACAGCTTTGAACACACTCAACCGCATGGTCCATTCTCCTGAAGGTCACCAGATGGTGGAAATCAGCACCCCAGTGCTCATCAGCTCTAGCAGCCCCTCTGTGCTCACTCAGCATGGGGACAAGGCAGACTTCCCTGCCAACCCTTCAGGACAGGTAAGGAGTAAATCTGCTGGCACCTTGCTGGTAGGCAAGAGAGCTTCCCCAGGTCACAAGCACTGTTGGATGCTAAGTACTTACCAGGCACTCAGAATACATGAATATTAGCTGAAGCCACGACGTGTACTGTCGATATTTGTGATCGCATTTTATCCTTAAGGGTCCTATAAGTTAAATATGATTATTATTATCCCTACTTTACAGGTTAGGAAACTGAGAGTTCAAAGGATTAAACAACTTGCCCAAATTCCCAGATACCTTGCACTTTTCTGTAGTGTGGTAAACATAATTGCCTGCTCATCAGAAAACTTTCCTCTAAGGAGATGTTGGTAGACACTTTCCAGACAGGGTTTTGACGTCATATAAGACTCACTGTCATATCTTCTGCAATAGCCCGGGCATTACATAGAAAGAAAACAATAGGACCTGTGGGTTAGCAGGTGTTTCTCAGGATAGTGGTATAACTTGTGGGTCCGATGTCCATTTACACACTTTTTGCATTCTGTAATTTTTTAACGCAAGCCCCTTGCTCTAAAATGATTAAGAATTTCAAGACGACAACAACAGCGTATTAAGTCAGGTGGTGGCCCCAAATGACTACACGAGTCACACCTCCCAGTGGGCACCTAATGAGGTAATGGGCATAAAGCACTCAGTCTAAGGATGTCTGCACATGCTCAGCTCCCCATCAGCACTTGCTCTCTGTTCTATTCTTATTATCAATCCTGCTCGCTGAGATGCTAAGAAGAGATAAGCCTAGGTGAGTTGCACCAATCCAGAAGTTGAAGTATTTCCGACAGCATGTGGCTATTTAGGCTGAAGGGCTCTTTAAGAGATGAAGGAGGAGAGGTATGAGGCAAGGTAATTAAGAATGTATTGGGTGCTCAGCTAAAAATGCTCTTTGGATCCATGCAGGTGGCAACTTGCAAGGACAGACTTCAACTTGCACTGGTGTCTTTTTTTTTTAAAGAAGCTGTAAATCTTGTTTTTAAACATGAATTTCTACCTTGGGATTAAATGGCTTAATTGGACTCTAATCCCTTTATAACAAGACACGGAAGAAGGAGAAAGTCAAGGGCTCCTCAAAGACCTGTGTACTGGTCTGCAAGGAAAACAATCACCTTCATTAACACTCTATCTTATACCACTGTCGGAGTTGCTAAGAGTGTAGCCTCTCATGTAACTGATGCAACTGATCCCCAACCTGTACTGCATCTCTCTCTCTCTCACTCTCTCTCTCTCTCTCTCTCACACACACACACACACACACACACACACACACACACACACACACACGCCATATATACTCTCCTTATTTAAAAAAAAATTCTGACATGCATTCTAAACACATTTTTATGAGTATATACATGCCTTGTGCCCAGAGTTGTTCCAACACACACACATACACGAACACACGAACACTCTAAAACAAGAACCTGATGACTCACATGAAGCTGGAAAGTCAGAAGTTTCTAAAGCATTCTTTATATAGAGGCATGGGTATAGAAAGTGCAGCCCACACTCTGTAAAAATAAGTGAGTGAGCTCAGTCATGAGTTGGCTTTTCAAAAGATGTATCCAAGAGACCTGTTCTCTGTGCCTTTGAAATTTTTATTCCTGGACGTTTACCTCATCTGCTAAGAGGGTGAACCAGAGCGGGAGAATCCCAGTAGTACTCAAAACAAATTGCATTTCTTCCAAATATGCACGAAGAATGATAATTCCAAACCACAGCATTCATGGGGAATCACTGGGCAGTACCAATAGCCTTTTGTCAATGCAGATGGTTGTAAATGGTGAATATTTTTGTATAGATGGCACAGGTGTTGTCAAAACATATTCAGAAGCCCCATGTACAGCTCTCTAAAGTGGGATGAGGACCCTGACGGCACCCACACCCTGATGGCCTTAGGTGGTTTAGGGACTCAGAAATTAATAACACAAAAGAATAGGATAAACAACCCATTCCTTTTACAGTGTCCATGGGGTATTTTACGATACCAAGATCTCAGCTCAGTTCCAGCCTATCTGTAGCACTCCCTCCCCCACAAGCACTGGCTACTCAGAAATAGCCAATAAATAAGGAAAAAAAGAGAACAGCCTCAGATCCTGTAGGAAGTCACCGCCTCTCTTGTAAGTAGAGAAGTATCTCGTTTCTACTTTGTTGTAGGAAGTGCCTCTCTAAGCCTTATAAGCGATATCAATTTTATGATCACATAGGAAAGATGGAAAAATGTTTGGATACTTGATTTAAATTTTCCACATTTAAAGATCAGTAAGTTAATTAAGGTGCATACATAGACATGGAAAATAACTACAAAGGTGGGCTACCATACAGATTAGATCATGATGATCCTAAGTGAATACATGTGTAACCAGAGCATGCATGCATGGCAGTCCTGGAACTCACTATGTAGACCAGACTGGTTTTGAACTCACAGAGATATGCCTGCCTCTGCTTCCCAAGGGGCTGGGATTAAAGTGCACCACTATGCCCTGCCAAGGATACTTGAGTGTTATTCTGTTATGTGACTATGTAGTAAAAGGTCCGGGAAATTTTTTTAGGGGGGTTGTAAAACATATCTAGCTCCCACCTACAAGCCAAAAAAAAAAAAACGAGGTTGCATAACAAGAAGCCATTTTACAGAATCAGCCTAGAAGTTATTCCCGTTAAGTGCCCTGGCTCCCTCTGTGAAGAAACAAGGCTGGAATTGCCCACGTCTTCATCACATAACTGTTACCTTCACACCAAAAAGCAGAGAAAGGGATAGCGTGTTCTCTTCGTCTTCGTGTCTTCCTACCTGTGGGAAACCACTTGCCAGTCCTGGCTAGACTCTGCAGTACTAACCTGAAAGATACAGCACAGCTGTGGGCTGGACATGACCGCACTTGAGAATGATTCGGAGTCAGACCTGAGCACTTGGAGCACTGAGCACTGTGGGTGTCTCATCATCTTCCACTGTGGGTGTCTCATCTTCCACTGTGGGTGTCTCATCTTCCACTGTGGGTGTCTCATCTTCCACTAGGGTCTTTCACCCCAACTTGGTGCTCAGGGCTGCACAAAAGTGTTTTTACTGAGTATTAAGATAATCTCCCCCTTGGACTGACTCTGTCAGTCTGTCTCTCTCTCTCAATGAAAATTTAAGCCTAAAAATCCTAAGTAACCCCAACCCCAAGATTATTTACAAAGATAAATGATGCTAAGATTCCTAAGTTAATATCTCTTCAATATAAATTTCATTCTATATTTCTTACTCAATGAATTCACATTCACAAATGATGTTTGTAGATCACATTAGAATTGTGTAGTCTTGAGGAATTGTAGGAAGAAAGAAAGTTTGCATTGAATGGACACCCATTATCAGACATTCTATTGCATACTATCATTTTCTGTCCAGAATACCTTTTATGAGTCTTCATGGGTACTTGAAACATGTTTGTTAACTTTTTGAGAACATGCCCCTTAGGAGAGATATATCCTTAAATTATTCTCATGGATTATCAGTTGATGTATTAGAAGGAAACCATTGACAGGCATTTGAAAGCAGGAAATGAAGCAAGGCCCCACTGTCTCTGTTCCACAAAACACCACAGGGTGAAGGACAGCTATTGCCCAAGTAGTAATCGGTGCTGAATGGAGAAGCCATGCCAGTCTTTGAACTGGGCCCCTCTCCTCATCCCAGGCTGAGGCTTTAGACAAGTCAGTAACCATGCTGAGCTCCAGTCACCCATCAAAAAAGGAGCATGTTTGGGGTTGGATGATCAATGTGGGAGCTTGTGCCTGGAGAAAACTGATTCTCCCTCTCTCAGCAGCCATTGACCACCCTTCATCTAGGGATGGGACCTTGTAGAATTCCCCTTGTCCACATTGGACAACCTATTGTTGAGATTTTATGGGTGCAGCTATCCTATCCAATGGGCTCAGCCCTGGACACACGTACATTCAAGCAAGACTAGATGCTTCCATAAGTATTATTTATACACAGAGAGGGAGGAGAGGTATAGATGTAACAATAATAGAGAAGAGGTCATGAATTTTGGAGGGAAGTTGGGGGGACATGGGGGGAAACCGAGGGGATAAGGGGTGGGAACTGTACTCGGTGCTCGTGTATAAAGTTCTCAAAAAGAAAAGATAAAATAATTAAAATATTTAATTTTTAATAAGTATACTCTGATTTATAAGGTTGCTGGGAAAATCAAAAGAGAGTAAATGTAGGTACAAGTACTTGGCTCTCAGTTTTATTATTTCTTTTCAAATTTTCTTAGTGATAGGTTGCCATATTGCAGTCCAATCTTTGCTATGCATTTCTAAATTTTTTACAATGAAAATTTTCAAATCTATATAAAAATTTAAGAAATATTATAATGAGCCTACTCAGGCCAATTTCTCCCCCTACCCTTCCTCCACCTGACTCCTTCGTTGAATAAATTGAAGCCCCAACTTCAGGTCAAATTATCTGTTGTAGTAACTGTGCCTTTTAAGATATTTTAGCACTCTCATAATATTATCAAACAGCAAACAAAATTGTCTTTTACATTTTCAATATCTCATGTTTGCATTTCTACTCTTGCCTTACAAGCATTCTCCTCAGTTGATTTATGCAAATGAGATTCAGATGACGTAAGCACTTTTCATTGGCTTGATACTCCCCCACATTCATTTCATTCTATACTCTAACTGACCTTCTCATCCCTTGCACTGTACGTGGTTTGGGGGACAAACCATTTGTCCTCCTGAATTCAAAAGATTCTGGATACTGCCAGTTGCAACTTCACAGTGGTTTTTAATTTTTGTTTGCTTTGCTTTGTTTTGTGACAGTGTTTTATGTAGTCCATGTTTCAAGGTTTATCCATATAAGCAACCTGTGTTAGTACTTTATTAGTACTTTTTATGGCCAAATAACATTCCAATATATGGAAATGCCGTAAGATTTAGTTCACTGGTTCATCAGCTGGTAGGCATTTGGATAGCTTCTATTTGTCTATTATCAATAATCC